TGCTACTGCTACTGCTACTGCTACGGCTACGGCTACGGCTACGGCTACGGCTACGGCTACGGCTGCGGCTACGGCTACGGCTACTGCTACTGCTACTGCTACTGCTACTGCTACTACCACCACCAATTACTAGTTCTATGATTATACCAACGAGTACCTCACTACCTTACACAAAAACAGCTACACATGCGAGCGCTCCAACATACAATAACCGGAGGACATTGGGAACAATGAACACAATGCTAGCTTGCTGTGTGCTACCAGTCCTGCCAGCAATTTCAGCCGCAGAGGTAGTAGTACTAGCACTGTGATAGGAAGATGATGATGGTGATGATGATGATTGTTGGTGATATTTGTTCCTTGCATGTTTTACAACCTTCACGTTTAGAGGGTGCGTTTTACTCTGTACTGTTCCTGGTTTTGCCCCACGGTTTCAGGGACGGCTAGTTGGGAGCAGTGCGGTGGGGGGGTGGCTGACAATATAATTGCTACAAGTAGTGGTAGTAGTGGTAGTAGCAGNNTAGGAGTAGGTGTAGGAGTAGTAGTACGAGTAGTAGTAGTAGTAGTAGTAGTAGTTGTTGTTGTTGTAGCAGTAGTAGCAGTAGTAGTAGTAGTAAAGTAGTAACAGTAACAGTAGTCCCGCTTCGAGAGGTGGCAAAGCCGCAAAGCCTGATTCCGCGTCACAAGGCTTACACATTGTTCACATGGCGAGATCCCCGACGGGACTCGAAAACAACTCGTACCTTAGTCATCTGCATTGGCTCCTGCTCAAATCTAAATCGTGTTCCGGGATGTCGTTGCAAACAAACTGTAGATACAGCATGGTACAGAAGCAGTGCGGCTTCATGATCAGTGGAAAGCAAGAGGTCGAGAGTGCAGGGCATCTTGGGGGCCGGACGACGCGTGCCAAACGAAAGACGCCTCAGTCGATGAAGAGAGGGCAGCTGATTCATTTACTTTTCGCACACGTCATGAAGTGCTATTATTCGCACGCATCATAACATTGCAGCTGGCCTCTTTTAGGAATAGGGATGCAAAGCCTCTGAAGGAATCGGCTCCAAGTATCCTTGCGAAACGCGGGACCGAGGACACCGCGAATGATGCGAAGAAACCTTTCAGCAACAGGAGTTCACTAAGAGGCTACGGCTAAATCTGCAGTGCACAAACGCGAACAACTTGGCAGCGAAGCAACGAGAGCTTGGCCCCAACTGGAAACAGAAGGCCCACGATAGACTCCACAACGAGGAAGCTGTCGAACAGATTCCATGCCTTGCAGGGGTTACGGCGTGCGACACTCGGGAGGAAGCGTTAACTAGCAATAAGCAGCTATAATACGGAATTTATCAAGTAGACGCGTCGTAGTAGTAGTAGTAGTAGTAGTAGTAGTAGTAGTAGTAGTTGTAGTAGTAGTAGTAGCAGTAGTAGTAGTAGTAGTAGTAGTTGTTGTTGCAGTAGCAGTAGCAGTAGCAGTAGCAGTAGTAGTAGTAGTAGTAGTAGTAGTAGCAGCAGTAGTAGTGGTAGCAGCAGCAGCAGTATAGTAGTAGTAGAAGCAGTGGCAGTGGCAGTGGCAGTGGCAGCTGCAG